AACCCATAGAACTTGGAAGAAAATATTGCAGAAAAAGTCACAAGGGCTGTGCTTTTGCTAAATACTTCCAGGAGTGCATGGCATAACTATATAATCACGGAAGCTCAGCCCTCCTGAGCAGCTATGGGATCCAATGTCTTCATCTGAGGATGTGTTTTCCCAGAAATCAAAAGATGCACATGCGGGCATATATGCTATTTCTATTTGAGAGGAGAAAAGGAAGCCAGTTCATCCTTCAGAAAACAAGTTGTTCTCCATTGTTCAGTGGGGTTACTTTGTCCTCTTGCCCCAAGAAGCAATGGAATACAGAGAGGTGAATTTACTCAGAACTTTATGCAGGAAAAACTTCTCCGGTCCCATTTACAACACTGAAACACTCATGAAACTACTCCAGGCATTGTATGTCATTGCTCCTCTGTCAGCAAATCCAGGCTTGGTAAATGAAACTAGATCTACTTATTCAATCATTGACAGAAAGTCAGAGTCACACATACATTTGAAAGCTGATGTTCGAGAGGAAATGACAAAAATTAAAGAACTCCCTTGTGGGCAGGGACATGAGAGGGAAAGCAAAAGAAGAGTGACATTGACCAGAATGAATTACACTCAATTCTCCAATCTCAGCCTCCTGTATAGCTAAGATTAAAGGGGTGAGCCACCATTGCCAGGCCATCTTTTTTTTTAATTTATTGTTATTGTGGAGATGATGTACAGTTACATAAAGCAGGCAAAGAGTGCATCTCTTGGTGAACAAGGTCACACCTTCCTTTTTTATCTCCCAGTTTTTCCCATCCTTCCCCATGCACAGGTTGTATACTTCATATTTAACATAGTGTCCAGTGAGTACCACTACAGCACTTATTCATCCTTTCTCCCTCCATGTCTTTTACCCCCCTTTACCCTCCTAAAGACAAATAAATGAGCAAAGAAGACAAAAAGAAAACAAAAACAGCAACAAAGAAAAAAAGAATTATATTCATTACCTGACTTATGAAATAGTAACCCTTCTGTACAACACTTTACTAACAATATAATTATATTTTTCGAAAAGGAATAGCTCCCTCAGATTTGTCATAATTGAAAACAATTCCTCTCCTATGCAAAACCAGATACATAATAAATTAGAAATTTTTGAAATGAGAAGCTTTCTAACAATAATTATTACAAAACTGTTAAGGTGGCCAATACATTAGCATTGTTTGGAATCAGAACCTTTCCAGTAATTATTATTACAAAACTATTGATATGGTTCTATGGTATTTTTACATATGTTATTCCTGGCCACATGTACAGCTAGAAAGTTTGATGAAAGCCTACCATCTCCCAAGCACCCGGGCTTCAGCAGCCATCACTGCAGTCTGAGCTATAGGCAGGTGACCCAAGATGCAAGAGAGCAGATGTTTTCCCAGACGTGAAATGTATTCAGATCTCATAGTGAGCTATCTGACTTGAAGTCACCACAAATGAGTTCATCCATTTCTCAGAGAAGCAATAAAAACAAAGAGGCTGAGACTATCTCTGCATGAAGAGGCTTCCCACACAAACAAATGATAGTTATGAGGGAGAATGAACTAAAGACAGGAAATCCTAAGTGCAACAAAATGGAGTAAGACTTCTAGAGAAGATGAGATTGCAAAGGCACAGGAGATCATACCTGCTAGACAGCCGTTTCTGGCCTAGAGAAGACCAAAACTTGAATAAGAGTGCCAAAGAGTATGTAACTAATACGCACATGGGAATGTGTCCAGCTCATAAACAATCCCTCTAAGTGGAGGGATTACAATGAATGTAAAAAGTCTGGTTTCTGGGGAAATCCTCTGGATCCCTAAGCTGAACAGGTTGCATGGGGAATGCATCTTGTTTGTTTAAAATAAAGGCAGTTTTCTCTTTGCTTGACATGTCAGGGTGTGGAGTAAAACCCAGTCCTGATGTGTGTGTGCACGGGGAGGTAAACTAATGATAGGGGCTTCTGCATGGCAGGGCCCAGCACTCGCCTCTGGGCAGGGCAGACCCTATTTACCCAGGGTAAATATGGTTAAATACCTATGGTTTGACCCACACTTACCCCAGGGCACTGGATCCATGATACTAGCAGGGACTCCTTTAGTGTGTCATCACAGCCAGGGTAGGGCAGCAGGTCTCCAGCACACATCTAAACTATAATAGATCAGTACCATGAACTTTGCATCCTCTGCCTTCATCATCTCCTTTGTGATCAAGGTCTTCAAAATTCTAAAAGGGACCTAGTGAGCATTAAGCATGAACCCTTTCTAGTTCTTAAGGAGGTGACAATACATCTACATGTTCTGTGTTCTTCACTGAAGAGGCACACAGTGAGTGAAACATAGCTCTCAGGATGAGAAAGATCAAGGGACTTACACTTGTTCAGGACATTGGGCAGAACTGAGGTGAGAGGAACCACTAAAACATGTACACACACATACACACATGCACACAAATGTACACAGACAGCTACTTGCACATACACATCTACTCACATATTACATCTTTATGTACACACAACACACACACTCAGACATAGTCACACATTCGCTTACATAGACACTCACATAGCATACAAAGTACAAGAGAATAGGATCTAATTTTGGAGCTATTGAAATAACAGTACTGTATGAGGAAGGAGTTTCTTCTCTTTTAACCTTAAAGCCAAGAGGGAAAATTGACTCTGTGAAAGAAGGTAGAACAGAATATGAGTCTTTAGAACTCTAGATCCAACCAGCAGCTACTGAAATGGATTTTCTAATGCAAGGAACAGGCTCAGAGGTACCATGGTTATTGTTCCCTAAAAAAGAAAAAAATGATCTCATTATGGAGGTCAAGAAAAATAAGGCTATTAAGAAAAATCAGAAGTGGCGCTGTAGCTCAAGTGGTAGAGCGCTCGCCTTGAGCTGAAGAGCTGAGGGACAGCGCCCAGGCCCAGAGTTCAAGTCCCACGACCGACAAAAAAAAAAAAAGAAAAATCAGGTTTTTGTAACTGTAACCCACTTGCTCATCACCTTTTCAATAAAGATTTTTTTACGGAAGAAAAATCAAGTAAGAAAAAAGAGCAAAACTATGTTTTGTGCTCGTTTAAATTGGGGAAAATCTGTATACAACATGTGTGGATTTATTCCCTATAGCTTTCTTAGGCAATTGGACATATGAATGTGAATTGTCCAGCTCCAAGAGAGATACCTTGAATTAATTCTATCTGCCTAGCTATCTACCTACCTATCTACCTGTCATGGAGCATGTACCACACAAGCACTACACAGATCTACTATCGAAATGATCAATTCTATAGTAAAGGCCCTGTGAAAATGTGTGCTGAGCATTACATGTGGTGTGAACCAGGATGACCACCCAAGGCTGGGCCTAAAGGCAGCGCATGTGCTGCTTCCTGTTGACTTCACTATGCTCTGACAGTTCTGAAAGTAGGTGAAGACTTCTTCACATATGCCTGAGGCTTACTGATGTTGTGCAACTGGAGTCGCTCTAAAGGTATTTGTCAGTGAATCTTCTTTAAATCCCTATTATTATTTTTGGAAGAGAAGTTGATTTTGAGTCAAGCTATAGAAATCTGTAACCTGTTCCTCTGACTACAGTCCATGCACACAGGACAACTGTAACATAGGAAAGCTTCTGAAGTGGACATTTATAGGCCAGCAATTAATGAAGCAAAATTATCCACCTCAGCAAACTTGACTCACCAGAATTAGTTTACAAGAAAAAAAAATACTTAGACTTCATTTCACTTCCAAGAGCACTTTGATTGGCCAAGTGATCTTGAGCACTTACTTGATTGGCCAAGTGATAGTTTCTACCCCTTTTTTCTGATGAAACTTTTTACATTTTAATTTAATGTGATGTTTTAAACATAAATGCCCAGGAGACAAATAAAAAGATAGGTCTGTCAGTTGAAGCTATAAGAGAAAAGGAAGGAAGCATCCAACTAAAAGATGTGGAGGAAACTGGTAGAGGGAGCAGTATCTGAGCTGGAATTTGAAAAGTGAAATGCAATTTGCTAGAAAGGCCAGGGAGCAGAATTCTGACACAGATCAGAATAAGAAACAGCAGGTGGAATAGCACAGTGGTGTGCAACCTCTCAAATACTGCCAGAATGTGGAAACTCTGGTTAGCTGGAATATAATGCAGTCAGGACAGACTCAACCTTTCTATAGAAGACCCTGAACGCTGTTCCCATGAGTTTCAGCTTTATCTTTAGTGGACAGTTGAAAGCATGGTAGTGCCATGGATACTTGCATGACAAGTTTTAGGAAGACCAATCTAGGGGACAAGGAGAGAATGCATGAAATATGAAATATCCATGACTTGACTGGTCAATAGACAGCATGAGCTGTTAGCTAAGGCCAGAATTGAGAGGCATTTCTGATATGCATTGACAGGATTGAATAACTAACTGGATGACGGGGTGGGAGGTGGTACTTACAGTAACTCCAAGATTTGCTAATGAGGCAAGTGATAATACAATTGAGACATCTCAGAACTCCAAAAACTGGGATGCATTTAGTGAGAGAAGGTTAGAAATCATGTTGAATCAAACAGAAGTATTACAATGGGACCCGAAACACCTCCTATAGGAACTGGTATCTGAAAAGCCTGGCGCACTTAGAGACTTTACCCGTTGTCTTGTTAGCTTTTAGGGATTACTCTTTTCCTCAGTCTTTGTAGTATCAATCTATAAAATTCTCACACACATGATTTCAATTAGACCAGAAGTTTTCACAAATCCTGTTGATTTTGATGTGATAGTTGAGTTTAACAGGTGATGAGTCAACTGTATGTCAAAGGCTTTGATAATCAGGCAGGTGTTCCCAGCTTCCTAAAAAGTGAAGTGCTGATACAAGAAAAAAAGAGATAAGTCCTTGACTCCACCTGAGTACACCTGTTTTGAGGAAAGCTGGTCAAGTACAAATAGGAGCGGGCAGCCTGGCCAGCTCCATGCGCCTGCTTCCCTGCTCCACTGCACTCTTGAAGATATGAAGGTCACAGTAAGTCCATGTGTTTCTTTTGAATGTCTTACCATAACATTGGAAAATATTAATATTCTGAGATGATTCTAATGATATTATCATCATGAGAAAGTTTGGAAAATATCCTCTTCTCATTTTTCTGGAATCATGATATCCACAAGCATCTCTATTGAGAAAGAAAACAATGCTGGGAGTAGACTTATGTCTGAGCATCTCTTTTCAAATTATTCGGTAAAATTACTTATCATCTCCCCTGACTTTTCCTCATTGTTGTTTCTTCCTTTACCTAACTCTTGATCATGTTCATGACATATTAAAAGCTTATTAAGAAAAGAAGTTGGGGGAGAAGCCTATCACGTTTTTTGTTGTACAAGGAACCTCCAAGTGAAGAAGTCTCGTATGGCTCATTTCTGGGCATTTCTGCCAGAAATATTCTGAACCCTGAAGCTAGCGCACTCTAAAATTCCATCAAAGGTTTTGGTGATATTAAGTTCCTTACAAAAGGATGTAGAGAGATTAGCATCAGATGAGCATTTTTCTGCTTCAACATATTACACAATAGGGTATATGACACAGACACTATTTTATAAGGAGAGTGCCAACATGAAATAGTTATCTAGAAATAAGTCTTCTTAGTAGCAACATGGCTGGAGAAGGCAAAGAAGTGAAGATGTTGGACACAGGTCAGAATTGCTTTCTCTTCTAGCTCTGCCATAAACAAGATGGCAGCTGCCGGGCCACTCACTTCCGCTCTACCGTTCAGCATCTTCATCTGTACAGGGCTCACATTTCAGACTGCTGACATTTCATAGAATATTGTAACTCTTTCTTAGAGTAATAAGAAACAATAATGGATAATTCTTAACTCATAAAAAGAAAAATATTCCTTCTAGAGGAGGAAAATATTCAAGATCAAATAGGAACAATAACTTAGATTGTCTTCCGATGTGATTTTCAGATCTATTTATAGTGATTGTTTGCACTGTAGATCCCTTCACGTTAATGTTGATTCTTCATCCATTCTTCATAGGCCTATATTCAAATTTCTGAATCTGTATGTCATATTAATAAAATTATTGCGTACAATAAATCAACCATTCTATATTAGCATTAAAACTTTCTAACCTGTTAAAGATACAAAGTCAAAGAAGAAACATAGGTCATTGACACATTGGTAGAGCAGGTAAACATTTTCCTCAGTTGGACAGAAGAAGGTAGGAGAAGTGTTGTTGGGTGGTGTAACAGCAGGACAATGTTATCTGTGATTCCAGATGATCTTGCTTGGACTGTTTGGACTCTTCATAGCTCCTGGTTTGGCTGACTATGTAAGTCTTGTTTCTTAATGCTTGTTACTAAAATGTGTTTGCAAAGACATATGGCAATGAATCATTCTTAATTTCTTATAAACTTCAGAATATCAATGTCAATGACGACAACAATGTGTCTGGAAGTGGGCAGCAGAGAGTGAGCATCAACAATGCACACAATGTGGCCAACATTGACAACAACAATGGATGGGATTCCTGGAACACCATCTGGGATTATGAAAATGTAGGTGGCCAGCGTGCACTTGCTAGTCATGGAAAATAATGCTAACATCTTTTTTAAAGAAAAAAATAATGTCCCAGCTAGCCACATTTAAAAAAAATTCTAAATGCACATAAGAGTTATAAGTGAGGTATAAGAGTTATAAGTAAGTAAAAATAGCCGCTTTGCTCACCTAATTTTATTCCCTAGATGTAGCTACAATAAATAAGGGTTGCCTAATCAGTTAAAATTCAAACCAATGAACATTTAGGTGACACTGGATTGACCAACTGGAAGACTATTAGACAAATAAGACATGTTTTGCCTTATCTAGAGAAGCCAAAATAATAATGAAAGATATCTACATTATCGCCACTGATAAAGCATGTCCTACCACAAAAATCAATGATTTCTATATCATCACAATTTACTAATCATAACTATCCCTTCCACTAAACACTGTCTCACTCTGTCTTTAATATCCTTCTAAAAAGACAGAAATGGATATTTCATCTGCAGGACCAAAAGAAAAAGAAATAACAATAGATAGTAATTGGTTTATAAAGGAAAAAGAAAAAAAACTACTAGATACTACATACAAGATGACGTGCTACCACTTAAAAAGCAAAGTTTTTTTTTTCCGTTCAGTTTCATCATTGAACAGTTAGGAAATTATTCCTGTCTTAACTGCTTCCTTCAGATGTTGTAAAGATCAGAGAAGAATAAATGTGACTTTACATCAATGAAACAGATATATGTTAAATAACATTCTAGAACTGAGGATAATCCATGAGTTAGATGGTTCATCTCTGCACTCAAAAAGCCTCTTCCCTACACACACAAACATTAATAATATGTGTGATCCCAAACAGCATCAAGTACAGGCTCCTGTTCCACCTCCACATGATCCTGGCATTCCATTTCCCTCTACTGATAGAAGGAACTTCTGGTCAGAAAGAACGTAGACTAGGAGAACATAGACTTCCTTGTCTCCTCTTTTCTTTAACAGAGCTTTGCTGCAACCAGACTCTTTGCCAAGAAGTCATGCATTGTGCACAGAATGAACAAAGAAGTGATGCCCTCCATTCAAACTCTTGATGCACTGGTCAAGGAGAAAAAGGTAACTATAAGTCTTTTGCTTTTTGGTGAAAGGAGGTGTGGTAATAGCTAGTAATAGTGTCTTATCTACCTGTATATTGTAATGTCAGGCACAAAAAGTGGGCAGAGTGGTGATTCATTGCCTGCAGGAAGGCTTCATCCACTATATCAGCTTCTGGGGTTCAATTTATCTCCAAGGGATTCAGCAGACATGTGATAATCTTGACTGTTTGAAGAGCAAAGCTCTATTTACATCAATGAATTCTCAGTAATTCTTCAAGCACATTTTTCTGCCAGAACTACTTAGAGTCAATAGATATAGCAATGTTCAGTTTGAGAATATCAGCTAAGTTTGAATTTCAGATAAATCACAGATATTTCCTTTGTAACATGAGGGATATTTTATCTTACAAGTAATGTGTTATTTATCTGAAAATCAAATGCAACTGAATGTCCAATGTATTATCTTGTAATCATAGTTGAAGTAAATAGGAAGAGGGGATCCAGTATGGTTACATTTTTTTTATTTTGCCTGAGTTCATATTTTTATAACCTATAAATGTGTAATTTTCATTGGCATAATGGACTACACTAGTAGTCTATGTAGATTACATCCTTAGATACTGGTCATCACAAAGCACCTAAGTTTCAGAATAAATTTGTCTTCTGTTTGTATGAGAAGCTGAGATTTCATAACATCAAACTAACTTGAGATACTTCAAGATGAGCAGAGCTAGAATTCACTCTTCATCATCTTATGAGAAAAGTGTAGCCAAGCAAACTCAGTTTTGATTTCAACCCATCCATCAACAAACCACTCACCTTGTCCTTTATTCTATCTCTTTCTCATTTCCACATCATCCCCATACTCAGCTTCAAGGTAAAGGGCCAGGGGGGCCACCTCCCAAGACCATGACCTTCTCTATTAACCCTCACAAAGTTGATGACCTGAGCCAGTTTGGAACAAACATTGCTGGCATGTGCCAAGGGATGCCAACATACCTTGCTGAGGAGATTCCAGGTGGGTCTTCTTCCTACTGAACATTCTGTGTTACTGCTGGCAGAATTACTAGACAGTCCTGAGTACTGATCATGTGGGGTTGGTCATCAAGGCTAACTCTTGTAGAGCACTATGTCCATGCTAAGCACCATCCCAGGAACATTCACTATGTTGACTCCTTGTTTCTCACAAATCCATTTGGATGGTTATTTGTTTTGTGTGCCAGTTCTGAGGCTTGAACTCAGGGTCTGGGCATTGTCCCTGAGCTTTTGTGTTCAAGGTTAGTGCTCTACCACCTGAGCCACAACTATACTTCTGGCTTTTTGGTGTGAGTTGGAGATAAGTGTCTCCTCAGATCTCAATCTCCTGAGTCCCTAAGATTACAGGTGTGAGTCACCAGAGCCAAGCTTTACAACAGTCTCTGTTGCAGGTACAAGTGTTAGTCTCATTTGATGGATGAAATACAGAAGCAGTTGCAAATCCCTCACCTAGGTCACTCACACATGTTGGCTCAGATTTGGTGCTCTAACTTTTATAGTATTTTCAGGGGTAGACCCAGAGAAAACTCCACGTATATTCAAAGGAATGCATGAGAGGCTAAATGAAAGAAGAATGCTAATAAACCAGCCAGTATCTTTCTGAGCTTTTACAATTACTATTAAAAACTAAGTATCACAAAAAGAAAATGTTCAACTGATATTCTAAACCCAATGTTAACTTCCTAGAACTCAGAACTCTAATGTGAATAATGTTATATTCGTGGGTAGGTAGGTAGTAGGTTGATAGATTGATTGATTGCCAGATTATTTATAGATAGATAGATAAATAGATAGACTGATCTTAAAATTAGTACACATTGTTTGGAAAGTATATGATACTCATTAACCCTCCCAATGGTCTTTAAATTGTCATTGATATAGACTTTTTTTTTATTTCTATCAGGAACAATGTCTTACGACACTGAAAAGTGCAACAATCTTAATGTAATCTGGATTCTGAATATATCCTTCTGTCGAACAACGGAGGAACAATTTTAAAGCTTCTGTGAATTCCATCATCAGATGATATGATATATTAAAATATAGGTTCTAATTATTTTTAGCAAGTCACTCTTGAAATATTTTCCTGTTATGTTTGGTTTCTTTAAGGCTCAATAAACTGATCTAGCACTGAATTCCACTTATATGACCATTCCTATTATTTCTGTTTAAAATGCACTTACTCACATAAAATATATCGGTGGTGAGTATATTAACATGTATCCAGGACATGGACCCTATAAAGAGCCCCTTCTACAAAATACAGCCTGAGAATGGTTCCAAAAGCATCCAACTGCTCCGAAGGCTGCTCTACAGTTGGTGTGTGGCATTTCTGGTCAGCAAAGACAAAGATGAGCTAAAAAAAAAAAAAAAATAGCCTAAGCCAGGAAGGGAGGCTTACTTGTGTTGAAATAATTCAACAACACAAGACAAGAAGAAACTGAGACTAGGAAGTTCTATTAACACCAAGAATAAAACCACTTCTTTTTATTCCTGAAGCTGTTATTTCATCTCTAAAGGGAAGCCTGTTGTGAACTCTACTTCTATCTTCTTTCTTTCCATTTTGTAGAATGCCTTTTCTGTGCCTATAGCAAGAGATGGATAAACCAAAATATCAGCCTCATCATTCATGCCTACATTTTTGCAGTTCAAGAGGTGATATCTAATGTTGAATTCCAATTCTAATTTTCTATTAGCATTATAAGGGCACCCTGTTTAGCTCACGAATCCACCTTTCCTTCCTTGATGGACAGGAGAATAAAGTCCCTTTGTGCCTATGGCACAGGGTCTCCTCTGAACGTAATAGCGCTCAGAGAAAAGAGATTCTAAATGTCATGGGTTCTGATACAAACTTACAGTTCATTGTTATTCCTATATGTGTTTGTTTTTGTTTTTGTTTTTGGTGCTAGTTCTGGAACTTGAACTTGGTGCCTAAGCTCTTTTGTTCAAGGTTAGAGTTTTATTGGTTGAGCTATAGCTCTATTTCTGGCATTTTGTGGTTAATGGGAAATAAGAGTTTCATGGGCTTTTCCAGTTGGGCTGGCTTTGAACCATGATCCTTGTATCTCAGCTTCCTGAATAGCTAGGATTATAAGCATGAACTAGCAGTGCCCGGCTTATATATGTTATTTTTGAATCCCATATGCCATAAAAGGCTATCCAATCCACTTTCACAACAAAAACTGAAGACATTGGTTACAATCCCTTAGAAAATTCTAGTATAGATCAATATTACTGGGAGAAAATTGCAATTTTCTTTATTTTGATGCAGTTGTATTGTTTTTATATGTAGTATACTACCAAATTAGCAGTATTTTTCAAATGTTCTGAAACCCTGAAAGGTAGACGTGGGTGTCCTTGCTGATCACAGACTCTGACTTACGGAGACAGAAAAGAAAGAAAACTTTGTAAACTGTGTATAATACTTGGTCCTTGACTTTTAAGAAATGGTGATTCTTATCATTTGTAGTAGTATCTAGTCACTGCCTAATGATTGAAACATTAAATTCACAGCCAGGTGCCAAAGGCTCACATCTATAATCCTAACTACTCAGGAGGCTGAGATCTGAGACTCACAGTTCAAAGCCATCACAGGCAGAAAAGTCTGTAAGACTTTTATCCTCAGTTAAGTACCAAAAAAGCCATCAATACAACTGTGGCTCAAGTGATACAGTGTTAGCCTTGAGCAAAAAAAAAAAAAAAGCTCAGTAACAGTGCCCAGGCCCTGAGTACAAGCCCCAGGACCAGCTAAAAAATTTACATTCACATAATAACTAAAAAAAAAATCAGAATCAAAATAGAATGTGTATTAGAACTGTGAGATACTGAAAACATGCATAGAAAAATCTGTGAGTAGGATCTCGGGTGCTATGTAATGAAAATTTTATAGATGTTCCATTCTGTTAAAGAAGAATGGCTGAACATTGAGTCAGGTCTTCCTCTTCAAAAACGAGTTAAAAGAACAGCTTCTTCAAAGAAAGATGAAAGATACTTACCCATACTATTTGCTTCCTTTATTATTAATAAATATGCTTTAATACAATTATGAGAAATTAATTGAAAAGCAGTGCTAGGTGCAGCGGCTTCTATCAGTAATCTTAATGTATTTGAAAGTCTAGGTCAAAACTAAATTTCTAAAGCAGCAATTTTGTAAAGCTGACTCCAGAATAAATAGCCATCTGGAACAGTTCTACAATCAGTAAAAAAATAATAATAATAATAATTGGGTCAGAAATTGTAAAACCTCACATGAGAAATTTATAGGTCAATATTTTTTATGGGAGATGTAACAATTAAAGATACACATTTTTCTAATATCATACAAACTATTCAAGTATATAAGAAAAAAAGAGCCAAGACTGTGTCCAATTCATTTCATAAGAGTATGAAAATTAGCTTTCTAGGTTGTTGACACACATTAGCAATTTACACTCCAAAAGCACATGGGGTTGCTCATCCATCACCTGCTAGATGAAGAGGTGTGCTTCTCCACTAAGGCACTCATTGTTTACCAGTGTAAGAGAGTTCCATTGGTCAGGATGTTTCCATGTAGAAACTGAGTTTGGCAAGGCACAGGGCTCACTCAGAACCGCAGAGATAATAAATGCTGACGTATAGGACTGAGGGTTTCTTTGGCTTTCTGGGTCCATTGTTTTTATCTCACACATTTAGTCAAATCATACTCACTTTGAAAACAAAGAAAGCCATAATCTGCATTATTATCAAAAGCTATGTTTTCAATGATGGGTTAGCATTTCTCTGTGTTCATTTATGAGGAATATCAGAGTATAAAGTTTTAGGGCCCATGTGCCTACTACATACATACACACACACATACACACACACACACACACACACACACACACGCATACACACCAACACTGTTAATCTCAACAAGACCCACCCATCTAGAGCCTTTGGAGTTCTTGAGCTAACAACACAAAGCAGTCAAATCAACATTGCTGTCTTTTATGCTTAAGCAAAGCAGAAAGGCCCACCTACCTCATTCATCTTTTCAGTGAAAATTACTTAAGAAACGGAAATGGCATAGCCATCTCCCTCTCCACCCACATTCATGCCCAGATCAAAATCCTTTGCAATGTCTAAGATCTCCATTGGGAAGAAATATAGAAATTAGGTGCTGAGAAATTCAGAGCAGTGTAGGATCTTGGCCACAGCTGTCTTAAACTATCTGCTATAATACCTGTGCATCAGACAATGTGAGATGGTGGATTAAGCACATCTAGATTCAAATACTGCTCCCTGACTAAAATAATTAACTGCTCATGGCCTCATGGTGCGAAGGAAGAGATGAAGCAGAGATAAAGTGCCTACTCTCTTAATCAATTACCACAAATAACCATATAATCTCAATAAAATTCAAAAATAATTATTTTCCCTTGATATAGTGGTACATGCTTGGAAATCTAGCACGTGGAAGGTAGGGCAGGAAGATCATGAGTTCACTGCCAGCCACATAGTAAGCTGTAGGCCTCTTAGTGAATTTAATTTTTCAAACATTGAATAGTGATGAGAGTCACTTATTTCCATTAAATAGAACCCAATTGGCTCCAGTCATCTCCATGAGTGTCTGCCTGGGCTCCAGGAAGAAGAGGCATGCCATCATGACCCAGAGAGAAGACTATCTCAGGATGAGAATGAAAGTTCCAGAAGGCCTGCTCAACCATATATGCATAGTTCTAATCCTCTTTGCATCATATTTGCTATGATCTCATTACCCACAGTAAGCCTAATGGTCAAGTTCAAGTCAAGTTGTAGGGAAGTCACCCTCTTGTGCTCCTCTCATGGGGGAGGTGCTGAGCAAGCTGACTTGACAGCAAAGATATGGATCCAGAGAACAGAGAGGAATTGGAGGTGAAAATTCAATCTGCCAGCCTCCTTCATAAGGTATTGTACCAAGTAAATGTAATAATGTATGCAATGGTATTGATGAGTGGTAAGCATTTAATAATCACCTATTTCCATCTTTTATGTACAGTCCTGGCCCATTACCGTCATGCTCTGAACAGAGTTCACCCACATGGTTGTAGACAGTCAAATATGGTTTCCATTAATTCCTTGTAGAAATACTTTTCCTTATATGAATACTTTCATATGGAAATACTTTTCTTCCAAACAACAAATAGTCTTATTTTCTCCTTTGACTCTAAGCTGGCCTAAATGACTTTTCTTGATCAGTGGAGAGATGCAAAAGTGACATTCTAACACCTTTAAATGCAAAGTGAGATAAGTCTTGAAGCCTCTGCCCATTTCCCTTGAATGACACTTGGGCTGGGCACCAGTGGCTCACGCCTGTAATCCTAGCTACTCAGCAGACTGAGATCTGAGGATCCTGGTTCACAGCCAGCCTGGGCAGGAAAGTCTGTGAGACTCTTATCTCCAATAAACCACTCAAAAACCAGAAGTGGAGGTATGGCTCAAATGGTAGGGCACTAGCCTTGAGCTGAGGAGCTGAGGAACAATGCTCAGGCCCAGAGTTTAAGCCCCAGGACTGACAAAAAAAAAAGAAAGAAGAGAAAAGAAAAGAAAAGAAATACACTTGGGCCAATTCCGTTGGGAAACCAGTTGTCAATTGTAGGACACCCAAGCCACCTGTTCCTAGCTGATCTCACAGCTAACAATCATCATCAACAGCCATCAGGACAGTGGATGATCTTGGGCATACAGCCAATTCAACCTTTAATATGACTATAGCTAGCTCAGTTCTTGTCTGCTGCAACCACGGAGGTGACCCCAAGTCAACCCAGAGAATCGTACATATGAAATAATATAAATTGTTATTTTTTGCCATTATATTTGATGATAATGTTTTTCATAGCACAAGGTGACAACAAGCTAGCCAATGCTTATATGTCCAGTGTCCACTGAAGGACCCACGTGGACAGGGAATCTGACGCTCCACCGTTCTGGTGGAGCATCTGGTCTACTCTGACCTTTCAAGGACTGTCCAAGTCCTTTCATAAGTATAATGGCATTAT